CTCTTCCTCAGTAGCATGTTGGACGCCTTCCGACCTGAGGGGCCCATCTTCCAGCGTCATATCTTTTAGCCTTTTGTTTCTGATCATGGGGCGTTCTTGGCAAAGATACTGGAGTGGCTTGCCATTTCCTACTCCAGGTGGATTGCGTTTAGTCGGAACTCTCCACTATGTCCTGTCCATCTTGGGTGTCCCTGCACGGCATAGCCCATAGTTTCTCTGAGTTACTCAAGCCCCTTCGCCACGACAAGGCAGCAATCCATGAAGAACCCTTTGCTGTAGTTTTTCAATAATTTTGCTTTTTCATCCACTTCCAGGGAGGTTAGCTACAGTGCCTTCGGTTGTAAACCTCTTGATAATATTGTGCACAGTGGACACAGGAACATTAAGATCTCTGGAGATGGACTTGTAGCCTTGAGAGTGTCGATGTTTTTTCACAATTTTTTCCTCTCAAATCCACAGATAACTCTTTACACTTCATTCTTTTCTCTGTGCTCAGTGTCACACACAACATAAAGGTTGAGTGAACTTTTCTCCATCTTAATTGGTTGCAAGTGTGATTACCACTCCTCTTACTTGCCAAATCATCCTGCTTCAAAAGCTTTCTCAGACAAACAGTCACTAAGGAATAGCCTGCCTGAAGAGAAAGGTCTTTGCCTGCTTGCGAAAGGACAGGGAATTTCAGAATCCGGGAGCAGCAACAGAGAAAGATGCTCTCCCGTGTCCCCAGCAAACACCCCTGTGATGGTGGTGAGTCCAAAAAAAGGCCTCCCCTGATGATCTTAATTCTTGGGCAGGCTCATAGAGTTGCTCCAATGCAAATCAAATAAATGAACATGTGAGTACCAAAACATTTGCAACTGCAACCATTTTTTGAGAGAAGGGTTGCATTTTCTGACAGAATTGCAAGGGTGCCAATATTTTTGGCCATGACTGTATGCCAAGGGTGATAAAGAATTCTTTTAAATACTCTGTGACTTGGCCATTAAAAGCTGGCAAGAAAAAGCTGATCAGACTCTGTAGCAGTAGAAACAGGACTGCAGAAAGATTCACAGAACTGAGCAGTATATAAGTCTAAATGCATAAAGAAGCCAACATCTTTCTGTTTCTTAAGAATTACACTGGGACCATGGCTAGGTCTTGTTCCAAAACAGCTTCAGTTTATTGTACTCTTTGTTCACTTCAGCGCTCCTACTCTTCTTGTATTCCTGCCATCTCTAGTTCACACCCTGTTAACTAGCCATATCCTCTAGTGTGTATATATGTCTACACTAGTGTTTACATATACAACATGCCTCTTATTAGTTCCCTTCAGGGTTGTGCAGTAAAGACAGATGGTGACTCACCCCTTGCCCTTTCAATGACTTTCCAACCCAGCCTTTGCTCAGGTTTTTGATGGCACTTGTACATTTCTGGATCACAAAAAAATCCTCTTTCCTATGAATGGGGAAAATGCAAAGACAGTGGCCTCGCTGGACATGGGGGTACACAACATTGTCAGGGATGTGGCTGACAACAGAGATTTTACTTCCACTGTCAGGCACCCTTTAGCAATTTGGTAAATGCCAGCAGGCACTGTGATGTGGACCACCACAAAGAAGAAAGGGGGGGAAGGGAGGAAAGACAGACCGAGCACACTAATTCTGATAAACCTAGTCAATCAAAACCCAGACAAAACAAACACAGGCATTCATCCACAGCCACACAAGCATCCTACTAATAAACTGTTTAGTAAACTGAACTGGGTAAGAAAGAAGAACTTGCAGGCCTTACACAAGCCTGGTTTCCTACCATTACACAGAGGCCAGATAGTGCAACAGGACTGGCCAGTAGCTCAGTGACTGAGCACCAAGCAAGCACAGTTCTGCCTTTGTGTGAGCTGCAGCCAGATGGCAGCAGTTGCCACCGCCACCACCCAACAGGATGTTGCTTTCTCTCATCCTGTATCCTATAGAAGTGTGCAAGCTGGCCTTTTCACTTTGTTGGTATTTTGTTGAATCTCAGTTCTGTCACTGCATAAGCTTTGGGGACTATTGCCCTCTTCCTGAAAGGCATGGAATAGAATATAGAGCAGGGGTCCCCAACCCCCGGTCCATGGCCTGGGCTGGGCCACGGAGACAGATCTCCCCCCTGCACGCACGCCCCCCCCCACAGCTACTGCATGCCTGCATGAGCACCCCTACTCTTCACGCATGTGCTTTGAGTGCACCCGAGCACCCCTTGCCCTTTGCACCTGCATGCGCACCCCTGCCCCTTCGTATGTGAGCACAGGGGGGTGCCCTGCCTTCCCCAATAGGTCTGCGGTGTTAAAAAGGTTGGGTACGACTGATACAGAGTATGTGCAGAAAACTTGTCCTCCTTCAGGTGTTGTTGGCCTACAACGGCAACCTGTTGTAGCCAGCATAAGCAATGCTGAGAGATGGTTATGCTTCAAACAACCTCTGGAAGGCCACAAGTTGCCCACCCCTACTTGGAGGTTCAGACATAGGGAGCATAAATGTAAATTCTGAGATACAGACTGATGTCAGAGCAAATTTCCTGCACTCAGCACTAGCCGTCCACAAAACCTTTGGTGAGAAAACAGACAACGGGGCAATGGTTAGCAGTTTGTTCCCTTCTAAGTTAAACTGTTGGCAAGCTTTGTACTTCATCTTATTAAAAATGGCAATAGCCAGATAAAATTTTTCAGAGGCTGATCCTGCCATGGGCTGAGCAGGTTTAGACCTTTCATGGCTATTGGAAACTACAGACAATGTTCCAATTTTGCCAAAGTTTATCTTGCAAGTTCTTTGCCAGTTTCTTGCAGATTTCTGTACTACTGTTTTTCCTTGGCTTCCTAATCAACTGAAATAAGATAGATGATTGAACTGGCATTCTATCAACATTCTAAAAATAAGCAAGCATAGTTTTTCAAAAGGAAACAAGCTGGACCCGCAATAAAATGCTGCAATGTAGAGAATTCTTGTTCATGATTCCAGCCCACCATTCCTAGAATGTCTTCTGGGATACTCAGTGCTGTGTGTACATACAGTAATGTTACAATTTCCTTCGGCCACAACAGTCAACATTTCATACCTACCAAGCATGCTCAGTTATCTTGTAGTGCCAGGTTCTCCTTGCGGTTTTCTTCCCAGAAAAAAAAAGCATCCTTTTGCAATGTTTTTAGTTTCCTGTGTTCCTGCCCCAAATTAGTGTTAGTACCTGCTTCAGCTATGTGAACATCTGAAAGAAAGACTTGCTTCCTTTTTCTCTTGGCATTTCTTGCTGTCATACAAAAGATGTTGCAGAGTTTTGAATTTCTCTTAAAATTCTTTTTGCTACTCAGTATAAATAGAGAAATAGCCCCACATAGGAGAATAGCTTGAAGTTACCCAGAGACCACCCCTTTCTCATTAACTGGCATTTAAAATCTCAATAACTCACTATGAGACATTTGTAGGAGAAAGCATCAAAATGTTACTTTCAGTTGCTTGGAAATTATAGATATGTGCACACTGTTTTCTTTACTGCACATATACTTAGCAACCATCCAAACAGATCAACAGCAAACAAAATTACTGGCAACAACAGAGGAAAGAGGGGTAAAGAGCACTTAGCACAGAGGCAGGACTCTCTTTGAATTCAATAGCTGGAAGAAACAATTGGTTAGGGCTGGATAGATATATAGTTACCTTAGCTCAGAAAAATCCCTCCAGTCACACAAACTGTGGATAGCATGTGAGGTTTCAAATAACATTCCAACAAAAGAGGTGATTAAGAGCCTTCTGATCCTTTACTTGCTGCCCCCAGTTTTAAGATACAGAAAAAGAAGTGGAAAATTGCTTTCCTGTACTATGATTCCCAGAACTGCATATGATAGTTGTAGCCCGGAATAATACATGAATGATAATCTTTCCCATCTTTGAGATTCACCACAGTGAGACACATTTAAAACAACTGTATCCCAGTCAGCTATGGATCATGTAAGAAACTGCTATTATGCTGGTCAGCTTCCAATATGATGCAGGATATTGCAAGATGTAAATTACTTAAGATAACAAAATTTTTTGTGTGGAGTCCCCATTTCTCCATATATTTTCCCAATGTGATTAAGCATTTCCCCTACCTTGTCCACCTTTTAAAACAAAAACTACCTATTATAATCCATGTCTTCACTATGCAAAGTACGGTATGCTCTGTGTTTTTGTTTCATGCTTTTCAAGCAACTGACCTTTCTGTATTTTTCCCAGGGTCCGTCTGAGGTAAAGTTGGCTTCCAGTTTAGTTGGCTGGTGCTTTAGCATGGATGAGACTGACGTAGGAACAGCTGAGAGAGAAAAACAACTAGAGGAAATGAAGGAGGTTAAAATTGTTTCCTGGTCCAAGAGAGTGCACCCATCTTTTTTCCTCAGTGAATCAGTGTTGAAGAATATTTTGCTGTTGGATTAAAACTGATCTAGCAAAATTCCCCAGGCCTTAGAGTCTAAGACAAGCTTTTTGGAAACCAGTTGTGGCTAAAAGAAGCCGCTCCACAAATTTAATATTTTGGCTGGCGTGACAAAACCCTAAACATTTCCTGCTTTGCTTCACTCACCAAATAATGCATGCAACTCATGCTGTTCCAAAGGTTATATGTCCCATTCAGAAACTTGGAGTTGAGCTAACACATTTTAGGCTTTGTTTAGTCTGGATGAAGATAGAGGATAATGGTGGTCTGTATAGGTTTTTCACTAATTGTGAAAAGCCTTGTTCTGTAAAGAAGCATATTACAACATCTATGTTTCTATTTCAAGAAATATAGAGATGAATTATAGCAGTCTGTAGGCCTGGCTCTACCTTTAGGCAAAGTGAGCTGGCAGCTTCAGGATGCAGATTTTTCATGACACAGAACAGCAGAGAGGAAGAGTTACTTCATTACAATCATTGTGCTTTTGTTGCTGGGGAATGGGAGAAGTGCTTGTGACATTCTCTGCCCCAGTGCAAAGGAAACTTGATCAGCCTTGGGCATTAAGCAACTTGACTTGCTGAGGAGGAGAAACATCTTCTAATTCATCATAAGCAGCAAAATAGTTTTAACTGGCCCTGGTAGTCTATGTCCAGTATCTTGTTGTGTTACACAACCACGGAAGGCCAATTGTATAAGCATTCCTTTCACTCCAGCAAGCTACTCTTTTGAGTGCTTGGTCTCACAACTGCTTGACAATTGGTTGCACAAACGCTTCTGTGACTGGTCATACAACAGTGCCCTTTCAGAGTTGAGAAATTATTGTGCAGTTATCTTTATACTGTGAACACAACATTGGCCCATTTGTTTCTGGCATTAACTAACTGGTGTGATGTAGTGCTGAAAGAGCCAGATTACAACTCAGGATAGCTGGGTTCAAAATCCCCCCTTGGCCACGAAACTCACACCATCAGGCCAGTCACAATCTCTCAGCTAGACTTACCCCACAGTGTTGCTGTGAGGATAAAATGGAGGGAAGAGACCTATATATGCTGCCTTGTACTCCCTGAAGGTTATACACACAACAAACATTTTTTTTCATAATGACTGTGTATGTTTTGAAGCTCCACATTTATATCACACACTAATCATTTTCAGATACAAAGGCATGTGATATCATGCATGTCCATGCTCCACCAGTTGACTACTTAACGTGGTCCTGGACCTTCACTAGGAACAAAATGTCCCCGAAGAGAGAGGTTCCTTGGGGAGAAGAGGCAGTGGAAGTGTTCAGGAGTTGCAACACCCCTCTCTAGACTTGTGTCTACTTCATTATCGAGACTCACTTGACAGCTCTTCAGTCATCACCCACCCACCAGGAGTCCCACTTGATAGCTCTTCCGTGGCCATCTACACCTGAAGATACAGGCCTGGCCTTGTCATGTCTGGTTTTGCCTTCAGACGCTGAGAAACCAAATCTACAATTTAATCCAGCCAAAACAGGCTGCATAAGCAAAGAAATAAAGAAGAATTCCACCCCTGGAGGCTGTTGATTGAATTTCCTCTCTCAGCTTGCCAAACAAAGGGATGCCAGGTATTCACACACATGCGCACCTCCTCCCCATTGCCTTCCATTGAAACTCAAGGTTCCTTTTTGGTGGGAATTTGGTAGCATTTGAAACCTATACTTGAGACTTGTGTTTTCAACCCACATTTTGAAACTCACCTTTAAGAAAGAGACCAAGCATAGACATCTGCCATAATTTTTGGAACGTTCTTCCTTTCACCCATCCAGAAAACAGTGATGCTCAGCCTGACAAAGACTTGTGCCAATCAAAACTAGTATTTATAATGTTCTTAGTGTTCTATTAAAGGGATCTCCTACTCTTGGTTTTAGACTGTGTACAAGAACTGCATGCCCTCTTTTTTCCTGCTCAAATACAAAATGTAGCTGTCTGTAATCACTGAAGGCAAGATAAATAAATACACAAGAGAGAACACATCTTTATAAGGCAATGTACCTGGAGTCAAAGGTATTGCATCTCTTTGTGTGTCTAAATCTTGAGCAGATAAACAGAAGGAGATAGCGACTGGTTAGGTATAAACTGTATTTTGCATTGTATCTATTACCCCAAACCTCATGCAGAGAACACTTAAAATCTGCCAGGAAAGATTTATTTTGACACAGCGCATTCCTTTCCTGACTACTTTAATGACAAGCCTTCCTTTTCTCAGACTGTCGGGCAGGTGGGGGGTGATGAATGGGTTTTTGTTTGTCTTGTGCTAAATCCCCCACTCTGTGGCATCTCATGACGTTCCTAACATCAGGACAATGTGGGGAGGAGGGAAAAAGAGAGATCCTTCACAGTTTATGGCTTTTATTTCCTCTTGTCTTTCTGTGTTGGTTTGTTTTCTGGGCCTGTCTTCATGGACTTGGCGCCATCTTTCTCTTTTACCAACGACATTACTGTTATATGAGAGAGGGAGGGAGATTGAAGATATTCTTTACCGAGATATTCTTTACAGAGATATTTTTCTCCTATTACACACTAAGGAGTGCTGCCGTGGTCCTTTTTACAAAGCACTTGCAGACAAGCAGCAGCATGTTTAATGGTTACCCATATTGATGGGGAAGGATTTGCCTGTGGGGACAGCAGACAGTTCTAATCTTTTTGCACTTCACAGCAGGAATCCTTGATATATAAATTGCTTGCTAAAAGCTGCTGCAATTAGATGGGCAGCAGAACCATCGCGCTCCAGTGAATTGCCGAGAGATGCTAACAGTCCTATGTTACAGATTAATTTTTCAATACACATTTATGCATATTCTAAAAAAAGATCTACCATCTCGTATGCAACCATGTCAATCTGTGCAGCAGTCCTCAGTGTCCATGAATAAATTCAGAAACGAGGGCCTCTGACTCAAGTAGAGTTCCCATGCAAAGCCCACTATACAGATTCCCCTCCAGGACAGAAGGGCAACAGAGCTGATTGATAACTTTTGCCAGAAGAGACACAAGGGGGGGGGGGACACACTGCTGTTAATTCTCCTGGACCTCTGCACAGCTGTAGAGCTTGAGAACATGTAGAATTCAAAGGGTGGAGGAGATGTGAATATACCTGTAAGCCCCTTGTCCCATGTCCAGAAGTCTTGTACACCTTCACATGATGAGCAAAAAAGTCTGTATAGGTGCTGTGAGTGCATTCAGTTGACCATGCTGTCATTGTTGCTGTAAAGGCTGCTAGTCACAGAAACCCTGAAAGTACATTCAGTTCAGGCTTCACTGAATATGCAAATGTCTGCATGGCCTCTGGGTAGAGTAGGGATGTGAGGATAGCACTTTCTTGCATCCCCACATCACAGCCACCCATGAAGCCTTACTGAATGCCTGAATAGGGCTTGGGAGGCTGTATTGTAGCTTTTCATCTATACATCCAGAGGATGAAGCAGATGATCTAGATCCATTTCAGTCTGGCTTCAGGCCTGGTTATGAAACAGAGACAGCTTTGGTCACCTTGGTGGATGACCTACACCAGGAATTGGACAGGGGGAGTGTGTTCCTGGACCTCTCAGCAGCTTTCAGTACCATTGACCATGGTGTCCTTCTAGGGCACCTTTCTGGGATCGGTGTTAGAGGTACTGTTTTACAGTGGTTCTGATCTTTCCTGGATGGCCAAACTCAGAAGATGCTATTGGGGGAATCCTGTTCAATGCCCTGGGTATTGGGCTGTGGCATCCCTCAGGGCTCGGTCCTGCTCCCCCCCATGTTAGTTAAGATTTACACAAAACAGCTGGGAGAGGTTATCTGGAGTTTTGGGGTTCAGTGCCATCAGTATGCTGAGGACACCCAACTCTCTCTTTCCCATCTGATTCCAAGGAAGCTGTTCTGTGCTTAGACTAGTATGTGCCGGTCGTGATGGACTGGCCAAGGACTAACAAGCTGAAACTTCATCCAGACAAGACAGAGGTGCTCCTGCTCAATCACAAGGCAAATCAAGGGTTAGGGATTTTACATTTCCCCTTTAAAAAAGTCAGGCCCACAGCTTGGGTGTGTTTCTGGACTCAACCTTGAGCTTGATTGCACATGTTTCGGTGGTGGCCAGGAGTTCATTTGCACAGTTACAGCTGGTGTGCCAGTTCCTTGAAATGTCTGATTTGGCCACTGTGACACATGCCTTTGTTGCATCCCATTTAGACTAATGTAGTTTGCTCTATGTGGGGTTGCATTTGAAGAGTGTTCAGAAACTTCAGCTGGTTCAAAACGCTGCAGCCAGATTATTGACAGGTGCTGGTTAATAATCCAGCACCAGTCAATAACAGTAATGTGACTCCCTTATTACAACAGCTTCTTTGGTTGCCAGTCTGTTTCTAGGCCCAATTCAGAGTGCTGGTTATTACCTTTAAAGCTCTATATGAGTTAGGTCTGGGCTATTTAAAGGATCATATCACCCCATCTGCGCCTTCTTGGGTTTGAAGATCTTCTGGGGAGACCCCTCCTCTGGGTTCCACCACTTTCCCAAGGGCACTCCAGTGGTGATCTCCTGTTTGTTTCTAATTTAAGGTGCTGATGTTAACATTTAAAAGCCCTGAAAATTTTGGGGCTGAGCTATCTGAGTGACCACTTGCAACTGCCTAAGTCTGAAGGTCAGCCTCTAATTGCTTTAAGGCTGGCAGATACTACCAGGGACATTTCCAGAAAAAAGCTCCTTGCTCAAGTTTAGACAGCCTCTAAAGGCCTTCGTATTTCCTTCCACTTTCAGATTACTGTACTTCAATTGCTAGTATTAGTGTTATCTGCTAGCATAATGTTCAGGTTATTTTTAACTGCTGCTGTTACTTTTGCCTGATTGTTTTGTCTGATCTATTGATTTTTGTGCTCCCAGTCTTTCAGTATTTTAATGTTGTTGATTTTGTATGATGTTACTATCCTGCTTTACTGACTGCACCCCCTTGGGACGCTAATTTAACTTGAAAGGTGGTTTTAAAATCCATTAAGCAAGTAAGTAAATTCCTGCACTCAGCCTGCCTTCTACACCTCCAATTGCCTTCCTTCTTATATTAAATTCTCAGAGAGAGAAAATCCATTAGTGAAGCAACTCCTTGATGCCCTGCAACAAAGCTCTCCATCATTTAATAACCATGCGATGTCTGAGGAAACATATAGTCTGAATGTTGTAGTTTTTCTCTTTACGTGAAATGCTCACCTATAGACCTAATCAAGGACTTTTTATGGGAACATAAAAGCCATATTGAGAGCCATACTGGTTGAGTCAGAATCAATATTGCAAGGAAGACAAAACATGGGCAACAGACTAAAAAGCCTGCCCACCCTCTTTCTTTCTCAAATGGGACTGGTAACTTTATTTTAATGTCATTGTAACTGAATACTGTAGTTATGTTTGGGCATGATGGCTCAGAGGATGATGATGATGACTAATCCTAGGAGAAAGCGTCATGCCATCTGTGAGGAAGCTGAAGCTTGGGAGTCATTGAACCTTCCAACAGGACAATTGTGATTGGGTTCTTTATATGTATTTGACATTTCCAAGGTTTGCACAGGAAAATAACCAGAAGGCTCATTCAAAATATTAACAGATTTATTAAACTTGGTTTCTGAGGAATCAATAACAACTTCAGTGGGATCAAAGTAACTTAATTCTGGTAACTGTCCATTCGGTTCTGCAAACACATTCTGATTTATTGTCCTTTAATATTGGGGAGCCAATCCGAATAGTTCCTTATCTGTCAGCTTCCTCAGGGGTACGCTCCTAACTGTGCAAATTGTGCCACAACACAGGTGGCGAGCCCGGTCCCCCTCGGTTGGAGGCTTGTTGAAAGTGGAATCCGGGTGCACCACCTTCTTTGAGCGACCACCCCCTCTCGGGAACACCACTACCGTCCATTCTGTTGTTTCTGTGATGGTCACCTCGTCTTTCTTCAGCATCGGATCTGGCAGCAAACTTCCTACTTTTAAATTAGGAAAGTCCTCCAAAAGATTACGCGATTGCTTATATTCTTTCTCTCTCTCTAGTCGGGAATCTAGGCACACTGAATACTCTCTATCCTGTTCCTTCTTTTATCTCCTCCTCCCATACATCTCCCCCTTTCTTTCCCTTCCTCCACCAAACAGATCTCCGTTTTAACCCTTTCCTCCTTCATCAGATTTCCTTTCACCTTATTCACCTCTTCCTTTGATTCCATTAGCATGATTTCTTCTACTGGAGGAGACAGCATACTCTCCTCTTTCAGTTCTCCTTCACAACAGTGATCCCAAACATACCTCAAATTCTGCCCAGGCTTTGTAGAAGTCCTGGAAGATTCTACAGTGGCCATCACAGTCACCTAACCCTAACCCCATAGAAAATCTCTGGTGGGATTTGAAGAAGGTGGTTGTAGCATGCAAATCCAAGAATATTGCTTAACTGGAGGCCATTGGTCATGAGGAATGGACTAAGACACTGGTTCTTAACCTTGGGTTACTCAGGAGTTTTGGACTGCAACTCCCAGAAGCCTTCACCACCAGCTGTCCTGACTGGGGTTTCTGGGAGTTGCAGTTCAAAAGCATCCGAGTAACAAAGGTTAAGAACCACTGGACTAAGATTCTTCAGGAACAGTGCCAGAAATTGGTGTCTGGGTAATGCATCTCGTTTGCAGCAGGTCATAACAGCAAAAGGATGCTCTGCAAAGTATTAGAGATTTTCCCCACAAAAGCGTTGAATAATTTTGAGACTGCAGTATTCATTAAAAGTTGCGTTTTCAGTTGAATTTGGGGAGACCACTTGAAACATTCAATGTGTTGAGCTATTTCAACTGCTTTTGTATGATTTGTTCATTGCAAATGGCTGAAAGTCTGTAAATTTTGATAATAAACCTGATTTGCAATGGGGTTTGAATTATTTTGATTACAACTGTATCCTTGGGCCCAAGGCACACAGGGCTCTATATGTCAAAGAGCCATCTTAAATTGAGCTCAGAAGCAAATTGAAAGCCAATGGAATTGGTTCAAGACTGGTGTTACATGGTTTCTAAAGACCACACCAGACACTTCTCTGGTAGCTGCATTATGATTGTGATTTTGTTATAATAATACCAAACAAAGGACCAGGAAGGTTGTAGAGTAGACCATAATCTGCTAGTAAGAGTTCTGTAGAAACCCAATTGTTAAGGATGACTCCCTGTGTCACAGCAATAAAGCATTTCCCTTGATGATTGCCACAATTACAGTGGGGTCTCGACTTACGAACTTAATCCGTATTGGAAGGCAGTTCTCAGGTCGAAAAGTTCTTAAGTCAAATCTGCATTTCCCATAGGAATGCATTGAAAACCATTTAATCCGTATCTGCTCTTTTCGTCCATAGAAACTAATGGGAAGCTGCTATTCCGCCTTCTGCCACTAGAGGGGGATATTTTTTCTTTTTTCCTTTTAACCTAAGATGACTTAGCTTTTTTAAAAAAGGGGGGAAAAGAGTTTCTAACTCGAATCTAAGTTCGTAAGTCGAGTCCATATATTCCTATGAGAGCGGTTCGTAAGTCGAAACGTTTGTATGTCGAGCCGTTCGTAAGTCAAGACCCCACTGTAATCTTTCTCCATCATCATCATAACAACCAATAATAACAGTAGTAATATTAGAACTGCAGAACTGGAAGAGAAGCTG